TTTCGACAAGGTTTTGTCATCATCATGATGATGACAAAACCTTGTCGAAACGTTGTACATTTGCTGTCATGTTAAACTTATATTAAAGTTTTTCTTCATTACCCATTTAAGCCGTCTCCAGCCATTATTATTCATCTTTCATCATGTTTTATTTTTTGCTCTTCTGTCCTGTTGAACCTTATTTGTTATTATAATGCACATTTAATGTTGTCTACTTAAATTTTGAACTTACACCCTGTTAAATCAATTTTTTAATGAACAGGATCTTTAATAAAAATGGAAGTTCTGTATTGTTATGTACTGTGCACTAAGTATATAAACACTTAGCATCAAGTGACAGCACTGACACTGTTAAATAAAAACTCTCCATACTTTGTGTAGTCAAATATTTATATTTTTAACCAAACCTGTCAAGAATGTAGTACAAAAAATAAAACCAGGTAAATCTGTTTGAATGTTTTTTACCCTATTTTTGTTAAAACCAGTAGAAGACATTTAAATAGAAGAACGTAAGTTAGCAGTTTGATCATGGATATGCAACATCTAAATTAACATTTACTATGAGTTTTAAAATTACCTTTTACAGAAAGGGTCAGAAGTTCCATTAGAGCGAGTGGCCATAAGGTTACGTGCTTCTTTAACTAATATGTGCAGCGAGCCTTTAGCCACCCCTAAAGAGACTTTTCCCTTTTTTGTGGCAGTGACATCTGGTGGCACATATTTCAAGGACAGGGCAAGGTCACCTTTGTAGCTGAGTGGAGACTCTGGAGCTTCAAGCTGTAATAAAAATATACTTTGTGGCTAACTTATATTACTCTACATCTGTGAGTAATTTGTGTTATTAAACACTTCTACTGGATCTATGATATATCATTCTACATTAGTCAAACAGGCTTACAAATCTAACAAAATGTCCTTAACCTTTTATACGTTCATTCATGTAGGTTATTCTAATTATTTTATTTGGTACAGTTCAGAACCAATTCAAAACTGTTGTATCTACAGCCAATAGTTGATAATTCTAAAAAATTTGCTTCAAGTAAATTTTGTAAAATATTACTTCAATTGTATTTCAGTCATACACCCTATAATAACTGATATCCACTTCAAAATAATTGTCATTTTATAAAATAAGAACATAAAAAATTTAGCATTTTTCTATGTTCAGACTCAAGTAGTTAACAGTTCACCAAACCTAATATTGACCTCTAATGCAGGTTTAATATATACTTCACAAATATATGATGGAATAGTTTTCTTACTGTTAAATATTATAGAGAGAAAAAGATACTACAATAACTCTTACAATTTTGCAACTATTTTCATGTGCTTCTGAATAACAGAGCAATTGAACAATTGCTGTATTGGAATTACTGAGCTAATTGTTGCACCCATTTCTGTGTCCTTCTGAATAAATGAAATAATGTAATCTAGTATATTATAATTACCAAGCTGTCAGTTACTCTTATTTCTACATAGTTCACAATAAGAGGAGTAACATAACAATTGATCATCTGAATAATGCATACATTATTTCAATTAGTAAGATAATAAAATCCTGGGAAGCAGTTTCATAAGTGAAACTTGCTTTTATGATAAGTAGGTAATAGATGTATTCTTACATGTAAAGTTTAGCAGAACTACATACCCGTTCTTGTAATGGGTGCCATATCAAATTGCTGTTCTCCAAGACATCATGACCTAAAGGAATCATCACTTCTCCAAGAAATTCATTTCTTCCAAACATATCACTATGCCACACAGAAAGCCACAGTGTGCGGGTTTCTAACTCACTAAGAGTAACAGGAAACTGATAAAAAACAAACAAACAAGACTTGTATTGTAAAAAAACTAGTGATTAAAAAATTCAAATGTATCTAAAATAAATCAGTTCTAAATTAAACCAAGATAATCAAATCACACCTAGAGTTAAAATAATTATATAAAATGTTAGTACAATAAACTTCTTAGGAAATATAGTTACCACAGGCTTCAGAAACTATTAAAAAGTGAATACAAAGCAGAGGATTAGTTGCAATTTATAAGAACAATTTGCATATTGCTAATCAGTAAAGAAATGATGTATTGCAGCGTATGTGAGCCATGGTTTCATGTTTAAGTAAAGGGTGAATTCTCAACTATTCAACAGTGCAATGCTATCACAGGTAGACTTATGATTGGAGAGTTATATAGCTTTTATAAAGAGAAATATTCATACAGCAAAATTGTTAAATGATGCAGAGCCCAAGGACACATCTCAAACAAGAGAAACTTCAGTGTTCTCCAAAGGAAGTGGAAAAACTAGCAAAACTCAGCCTTTAAGACAGTAATAGGTTCTAAAACCATTTCTCAAGCTAACCTGAAACAATGACCTATGTAAAACAAAAACTATGATATGAAAGAGAACCAAATAGTCATTGGGATGCAATTGGATATATCTTCTGATATTGTTAATAAGATGATAAACAAAGATTTTAAGTTGAGGAAAGCTCACAAGCCAAAAGTTCACAAGCTACAAGTCACATCTCAAAAACAATAACTGTTTTTAAGAGAGAGGTGTACAAAAAATGAACTTACACTAATGCCATTTGACCATATGCATGCCAATGCCTCTAATGCACCTCCAACAGACTTCTGTACCTTTGGTTAACTTAACATTTAGGGGAGTGGTGTGCTTTGGACATGACAGCATTCCAAAGATTCTTTTGCTATGGAAACTATGCTGCAGGGCTATTTTCAAGATGTATGGGCATCATAAAGAGCATAATCAGAAACGATAACATGGAATGAGGTGAGGCTCAAAAAATCATTTTAATGATAAACAGCAAAACAATGGCAAAAACAACAAATATTTGACACGTGCATAGTAACAAACATTTAATTCTTGATAAATTTTGGAATATACATATTCCATCTTCAGCAAGCTATATTGAATAGGGTAAAATATTAGGTACAAAAATTTCTAAAGTTCAAACATTTCGTTCATCCTTAAATCATTTTAATATAATGTATTGAACCTATGTACTAAAGAATTAAACATATTTCTGTTATTGTACACTAAAAGTTGGTATTTTAGTGTATCACCTATGAACATTGGGATTAGAGAATTAAATATATTTACTAAGGTTCTTTCATTCAATATAGAAGTCTGTTAAATGAGAGTCATGTGCATAAATGTTCAATAAATATGCATATATGTTAACTCACCCTTAAGACTTCATCAAAAATAGGATTTAAAGTGTGCTTCTTCACTTTAGTCTTTCTTTTCCCACTTTTAGTTCTATCCGGTAATAGGTATACCTTCACATACCTGCACAAATATTTTATATTATTTCTAAAAACAAAATTCTTAACAATATTTAGCTGATACAGAGCTAACATAAATTTCAACCTTTCCGTAATCGACTGAAAAGTGCTGGGAAATCACCATGCACTTACATTTGACATCTATCTTACATATTACTATGTAAAACTAAAATACCACTGAAAGTCTTGTTTAGTTGCTGTACAGAAGACAAGTTGTTTATAATAGAGGGAGATTAACTTGAAGTTTAAAAAATTGAATTGTTTCCGACTTTTTTATATTTTTTTGAGCTAATGAAAAATAAATAAAAAAGTTAGAACAAAATAATAATATAGAAATATTGGTGCTGATAAAGAATAAGAAACATTGAAATTTCAACAACAGAATTATGGAATAACTATATGTCTTTCCTGCTTGTTTGTATTTTATGTAAGATATGAATCAATTCCTTCAATGGAGTGAAGAGTTAATATAAGGGAATGCAGCATATGTAAAGCAATTCTTGGAGTGCAGTGTAAGGTAGTTCTTTTATTTCCTGTTTGTA